GGGGGGGGGGCTGCTGACGTATTACTGTGGCTCTTTGGCAATGTACATTGTAAATTCTGGCTCCTTCTCAGGCTCAGGTTGGCCACCCCGATTTAGACTCTCACAGGGACTCTCGGTTTGAAGAGGCAATTCCAGTTACAGGTTGGCATGTTCCAGGGTGAAACAAAGACCAATGTGCCAAATACGAACTCTGCCAGTGTGACCCCTTTAGAGACCCTTTGACAGGTTTCACAGGTCCCACGCTTTTCTGACTTACGTGTTAATCCATATTTCCTCTTCTTCTTCCACCAAAAAAAGAACGCTGTTCCAGCAAATCCAGATAAAAGTGAGAGAGCAAGGACTATTAGCACTGCTATCGCTGTGGTAAAAAGGCCTCTTTGTACACAAACTGCATCAGAAATGGCTGTCCCGGCCTTTTGTTCTCTCATCCCTTCCTGTTCACACCTAAGATGAAGGAAGACATGTTATTAAACGTGTCAGCATATCCACAGCATTCTCACTGTCTTGGTAACAAATTCCTGGGAAAAGGATTTCCCCAACACACAGCCCTAGTGATTTAGGGTTACGTTTCCCAGCTGCTGAACTTCAGGGCATCTCTAACCAGGTCTGCTAGAGCCACAAAATTCAGGTACAAAGAAATAACAATGAATGAAAGGAGAGAACGTAGCGTGTAAAGTCAGTGCAAGGGAAAAGGCCATGTGTAGTCAGAGTCACCTACCTGGTCCATGGCTGACAGGTGTGTGACATGTTGGTTGCTGAGAAGGTTCCTTCAGGGCAAACCTCACATACGTTGTCAAGGAATTCTGTGCCTATAAAAGAGGACGACATAACAGGATTCTTTCCTGAATGTGGGGCCTAAAGGAGCTTTGATTTCAGAAAGGTCTCCATCCGCATCTCCCCACTCTCACCACCACCACCACCACCATGTTGCAGACCCATCTCGGTTCGTTCAGGAGTTAGCACATTAAGAATAGATCTGCGCTGGCATTTTATTCCTGCCCTATACTTAAATACGTCAGTACTCATAGAGCACAGGTACATGGGGGAAAATGCACCTCCTGCTGCCCCACATACCTGGGCTATTACAAGGGCCAACATCCCAAAGGAATAGTAAGACTCAAAAGAATGGTGCCAAGTTGTGTAGTAGCACAAAAGCTGCAACAGAACACAGCAGTGAGGGGGTTAAATGCCCAAAGGACACTGATAAGGCATGAAGATAAGGCAGCTGGAATATGAAAATATTTAAGACTTATCCTGCCGTGATATCAATTCATGCTGGAATGTGGTCAGTGCTCACAAGCTAAGCAGGTGCTGGCTGGGAGACATGGGTGAAATCCTGGGTGAAATCCATCGTCTTCAGAGGGGCCAGGATTACACCCCAAAATGTGTCTGGAAGTGATGCTGCCACCTACTACTTTACTACTTCTACCCTAGGTGCCCAAACACTATGGTGATGGGTCATGTAAGATATACTGGTGCAAGGAGAAGCTGCGGTTCTGGCTGTGTACACATTTCCCACGTACACATCTCCCAACCAAATTCCGGTTTGAGGAATTATATTCCACTTACCTACATTCCTCTTGTAATTAACTGAATATAATATTCTTCACCTTTTGACCTAACCTGGTGCAAGGCTGTGAATTCTCAAATAGCTGTCTGCTTCCACCCCGCGATGGCCACATTTCAGGGCTGGAGGAAACAATCCCTGAATATAGCCCGGAGATCATTTTATTACCTTTGGAAAGACCTTGGAACTGGAAATATCCAATTATCATAGGACACTGTCATGGATATGAAGTTTTATTCTGAAGCCTCCAATTCCATATGGCCCTGGTAGGGGGGAACAGCGGAGGGGGGCACTTGGATTCTGGGACTTGGACTTGCAGACCTATGTGTATATTAGGTCGACTTACAGCCACCGCAGTAATTACCCCGGTGGTGCATGTCCACACTCCCCTCCTTGGGCCAGTGGGGCATGTCCTCACCAGGAAGGCTCCCACCGACCTCAGAGGGGCAGTGTGGGACGCTGACAGCCCGGTCTCTCAGCTCTGCTGGCAGCACTGTGCGAGGAGCCTGGCTGCCCCACAGGTTCCTGGGCTCCTGGCGGGCTGCCTCCCCCCATCCTCTGTTGACACTGACATAATGAGGTCCCTTCCTAGAGTGTCATTATAAGGCGCCCGTTTGCTTTTTCCTGCACTTCTCTGCAACCTCCCTTTCTGTCGCAGTGTAGAAATGCTACTGAACAGCCTGGGTGATGTGTGAATGGAACAACAACACACACTCGGCTTCTCGCCAGCAGCTCCCATCCCAGGAAGGTGCGTTAAGCTCACATCATCCCCCTCAGTATCCACCTTCGGAAACACGCCTGGCTGGACAGTCAAGCTCATTAGTTATTAGAGCAAAGAACCGTGAGGTATTTTTGGTTAGTCTGGAACTCACATGTGCCCTTGATCAAAAGCCTTAACAATGGACCCTGGCCTGGATCCACACCCGCTCTCTCTGTAAAGAGACTTATGTGTCTACAGCAGGATGTACTCCAGTGTAATTAACAGGGAAAAGGTGTTGCTGAACAAGTCTGTTGCACCTTGGGAGTGCCAAAGGGGGCATTGTTCGAAGAACGGGGTGTGTTTAGCACACTTGTATTACTAACAGAATTCTGTGCCCAAAGGCATGCTCGAGGGAGCTCTGTTTCTGGTGTGCAAGCTGAACTCACACTGCACTCTGCGGCTGCGCAGGTGGGCTGCCAACACGTGTGAGTACAAACCCACGGCCTCATGCAAATTGCTGCCTGCAAGAGCATCTTGTGAGTGTCCAACGACACCCAGAGGAGTCTGAGCTCGTCACACCCTCTGACACACTTAACCTTGCCCCTGTAAATTTCATGCTTGTTTAGGAGGGAGATGGCAGCTTTGTGTCTGGCCTGGAAGGTGAACATAGCCCAGGGCAGAGAATAGCAATTCCAGAGTGGAGGACCCGCAGCAGCTCTCTCGCTCCCACGCCCCTGCCCCCCACGTATAGCGAGGGAGCTCCATCTTGAGCACCTCTGCTGAGCGCAGCTGGGGCAGTGTGTGCTGGGGACAGAGGCCATCAGGACCCAAATCATTTCTGTCTCTATAGGTCAAAGCCAATTCCTACATGCGACCAACAGGCAACTCCACTCTCTCGGCAGGCTGCAGCATTCTGCACAGTCCTAAGGGCTGGCCCCGGGCAGAGCACAGTTCAGCAGAGAATCCTGCCTTAGGGAGAAAAGATCAGAGGCGTCTGGCCAGGTACAGATGGAAAGAAGTTGGCCACAGCTGTTACCTGGGCATCCAGGTCAGCACATGCTATAACACCATCCTAGAGCTGTGCAATGGTATTACAAATGGCAGTCCCGCTCCCTCAGTGAGGGTCCCCCCTCCCCCCATCTACAGCCCAGCAAATCCTCCAGCTGCTTCCCCAGCATCACCTCAATTTCGCCTGGATCCTAGCCAGTTTGTCCAGATTCGTTCTGTGACTGCAGGGTTTGCCTTGGCATTACAGAAGTTATGTTGCTTACCAGGTATTTTCACTTTAGAGCCAGGGAGGCAGACGGTGGAGCGACTACACATTTCACAGTCCTCGTCTGCACTGTGCCTGCAGAAATCCCCCGGGGCGCAGCCGCACACTCTGATCTTCGTATACATGCATTTTTCTTTTATTGTCAGTCTGGCTCCTAAAGAAAAGTTACATGCATCACAAATACATTTACACGGGAACTAAACAGAACAGATACAAAAACAGATGTGCACCCCAGTCCTTGCTGATCCATGGTACAGGGCACAGGAGCTAGAGCGGTTTGTTATGATGACTCCATGTAACAAGTGTTGCCATGTAAACAGAACCATCTGGAGCCTGATTCTCTGCTGCCCTGCACCTTGTGTTGCATGCAAAATGCTACCAAATCAGTGTTCTCTACACAGCTGCAGTTGAGATTGTGCTTTGCACCCACTCTGCATCCATCTGCACGGGTGTGAATAATGACAAAGGTGGTGGAGAATCAGGCTCCCAGTGGCCACATATAAAGGACCACAACCTCCAGTCCAGCTGGTCACTGGAGGAGCAGGCCACTGTAGTGGGATTTTGGAGTGGTCATAACACCTGCTGCACAATCCCTCCTCCAGCTGATCCCCATGTGCTCGGACGGCCTTTGGGGCCATAGGCAGCTGATGTAAACTAGAGCAGCCTGCAGGCTGTTCTAATTCATGCTGGGGACCAGGCCCTGACGGCCCCAGGAGCACAATGGTTACTTACTGTCACTCATGTCACTCCCGCCTCCTGAGGTACGTGTGTGTTCCTCAGCCATTGCTCAGGATCTGGGATCTGAAAGGGAAGGTTATAACCTTCCCCGCGTACAATCCAGATCCTGAGGGTGCAGAGCTGCTGCTCTAGGACAAAGGATACCATCTGAAAAGTTTGATTACAATTATTGTTTATTGTGTTTGTTCTACTTCTGCTAAATCTAGAGATCCACTTTCCCCCTGAGAAGAATCTCCCGGGATGATTCCACAGCCCTTAAATCAGTGGAAGATGTGCGACTAAAGCCAATGCACTGTGCTAGAAATCTCCACTTCAGTGATTTGCCCAAGATTGCAAGAAACTCAGTAAGAGAACTGTGAGCAGAACCCAGGACTCTTGACTTCCAGTCCTGGGCCCTTTTGTACGTATGGGCCGGGGGGAGACAACTACAAAAAAAAGTAATTAAAATCCACTCCACACACACAGCAGCTTCCTTACCTGCATCGCAGACTTTACATCTCATGCATTCCGTTAGGCCATTGGGATGCTCTGTATATGTGTCGTCCACACATTCCATGCAAGTTGTGCTGACTTTTAGTCTACAGCGTTTGACCACTCTGTTCCCTAGACCAAACAAAACAATTAGCTCCCGTGTAAACCAGGCTAATATATTTAATGCATTAATACAGAGATTGCAAAGGCGGGTAATTATGCATGAGAAATGCACATGCACTGTTTGTGGATTTTACATGTTGCACACCCCACCACTAGAAATAAAAGGTAAACGTCTCAGAACTAGATTGCCAGACCTGAAATCCTCTATTTCTGCACAACACAGGTACAGCATAGACAGAAACAATCTCATAACTCACACCCCTCCCTTATCAGTAGGATCCCTAGTACAGTCATGCTTAGACTCTGTGTAACGCACACGGGACCTTTGACAGATCCATGTGTCCCCACTGTGCCCAGTCAGGATCTTGGCCCTTTAAAAGATGCAGGTCTGAGTATTGTAGTTCCTCCTGGGGGGATGGAGAATCCTCAGGTGAAGCCAGTGACAGGAGGGATCACATGACCAGAAAGCACC